TGTTTTCCCACCAAGTGATACTACATCTGGAGCAATTTCTATTGGATTCATTAATAGTCTTGATATGATCCAGGAGTGGAGCCCGACGAAGGCAAGTGCGAGACGAGACCCGTTGATAGTCGATGGCGGACCAACGATGCGATCAAGGGCAAAGCAAGTGAAATAAGCGATAGGATTGCTCGTTCAAGAAACTATTGATGGAACCATATTTGGGACTCAAAATGAAGCAACTTTCATGTTCGGGTCGAAGGTCGAATCAACTTGGATCAATTTGTTATCAAGCGACGAAACCGGAGGCTGAAAACAAGCTTGTGTGAACACCATGCGGCCGCACAGTGGCATACCGAAACTTAAATTGGGATTTTTTGTTGAACCATGCGACCTCATGGACAAACACCATGCGGCCGCACAGGCCAAAAATTTGGCGAATTTTCCAATTTTGGCAATTTTTCATATTTTGTTAAATTTTGATTCTTTTCCATATTTTGGAGATTATGCTCGACTTTTGCACGATTTTTACCTAGTTTTTAGGTTTAGTATAAATAGGAGTTTCCATTCAATTGTTAAAAAACCTTTGACATTATTGATATTGAATTAAAGTGAGGTGTATTGTCTTCTCTTCATCGTTCTTCATTGAACAATTTTGGACTTATCAAATGTTAACTTGTGGCGTTCAAACAATCGGATTTAACTCTCGGATTGCGTGATCAAGGGGTCTTTCAAGCGTCGTTCTTGTTTGATTTTTTGGTTCGACTTTCTTTTGGGTTAATCCTAAATTTTGGATTAATTTGGCTTTCTTGGATTCGTCAATCTCGTTGTGGGTTTCGTAGTCAACGTTGCTACGGGGTTCACATCAGTTGGTATCAGATCTTTGGCTCCAAATTAATTGAAGGTTATATATTTTCTTTATTTGTTTGGGTCGTTAATTTTTCTTTCTTAGTTTTTCTTCATTCTTGTTTTCTTTTCATCGTTTTGTTGAGTTGTTGGTAGTTTACTCACCTTCTTTCATCAAGGAGTATAAAAAAAAAAGAGTACAAAAACGAAAAAAAGGTTACTGTATATTCGAGGTACTGTTTATCTCGAAGTATTGTTCACAAAAAACAAAATATATATATATATATATATAATTTGATATCATTGTTTGATTTTGTGTTTTTTTCTACCAACAACAATTCCTACATTGTGTTTGATTTTTGGGATATTCAATTGGGTTCGAGTCTTTCATTCTTCTTTTGAGTCTATTCACATATTCGTGTCAAAACATTCATCTATTCCACTTCTTCAAGTCCTTTGAGTCTTGTGGTCTTTGATTAATATTCGATTTTTTGAATTGCCGGTAAAATAATTGATTTAGTTCACTTGGTTCTTTGAAGTGCTTGGAGGGAGACTTTGAGTGGTAAAAAGCCAAGTGGTGAGTTTAATAGAGGAAAATAGCCATAGTGAGTGTTTTTCGAGTGAAATCTTTGTGAGGCATAAAAAAATTGTGTGATATGATGTCGGAAAGAGAAGGT